ACCATTCATGGCTCCCGTCCCATCGCAGCCCGCGGAGGCTGCGGGCGAGAGGAGCCAGAGAGACTTCTGATCTCCGTCCAGAGCGCCCACCTGTCCCCTCTCCTGCCCCCCTCCTTCCAGGGCTGGTCAAGCCTTTCCGAGCAGCGCCAGCGTGTGAGGAGGACAACCAGGGAAGATGTGTCTGCAGGAGGGAGGGGACACCCCCTTCACCCCTACTTCAAACAGCAGTCTCAGGGAACCCCAAAGTCATTCCGGGGGCTAGGAAAGGAGGCTGAGATGACAGGTGCCTTGAAGTGGGGTCGCCATGAGCCCCCAGTGAACTAGCTTGCCTAAGTAACCTCTTCTGAGGGTCCCCAAAGCCTGGTGGACAGGAAGAAGTCATGTGCAACCCTCTCGGCTCTGCCTCTGAAACACACCACGAGCTTCACCTCTCCTCCACTCCTTGCCACCCAGGGACCCACAGAACCCCTCTCCTGCCAGCAGTACTTTAGCAGCCTCTTCACTGGTTCCCAGAAATCTGACCTCACCTCCTATAGTCTTTTCTCCACCCAGGAACCCAGCCATCATTTCTAAAACATAAGACAGATCAGGCCTCCCTCTGCTCAGAGTCTTGCCACTCCACTGAGAGTAAAAGTCATTCCTACCCATGGTCCCCAAGGCCTCATATGATCTGCGTCCATTTGATTTTCTGAGTTTATCTCCTGCCACTCTTCTCTTTGCCCACGCTGCTCTGGTTGCACCTGGGTCCCACCCCAGGGCCTTTGCACTTGTGATTTTCTCTTGCACTTGCCTGGAATGTCCTTTCCCCCATACTCCCTCCCATCCTTCAGGTTTCTGCTCAAATATCATCCTGTCTGATAGCTTTCCTTCACCACCAATCTCCTCACAATGAGAAATTCTCCCGCTCCACCCAACGCTGGTATCTGTGCCCTTTGCCAGCTTACTTTTCTCCGCAGTGCTTATCCCCATCTGACATACCATTTATCCACTTACTTGGTTGTGCTGACTCCCCAGTCCCCACCCTGCAACCCTCTCCTGAGAATGCTAGCTCCACAAGGGAGGGGTTTTAACAGTCTTAAAAAGTCTGTGTCCCCAGTGCTGGGCACATGGCAGATGCTCAGTACACACGGAATGAATGAATGAATGAACAAATGAATGTGTTCAGCACACCAGGCATGTCACAGCTGTCACTGCCTAAGCCCTCACACAGAGCCTGAGAACACAGAGCTTGTTAGTGGCAAGCCTGGGATCCTTATGCTGACTCCAAGACTTGGGGTTTACCTCCCAGTGTGAACCAGTATGGCCAATTTTTCCTACTGGCATGGAAGGTGCTCCCCATCACAGTGCACTGCCTGTTTTACTTGTGGTCCCACCTCCTGGAATCCTGCCCCCTCCAGAGCTCCCATCCAAATGGGACCTTCTTGAAGAGCCCCAGTCTGGGCAGTCCTGCTGTCTCCTCATCCCAGCATCCTCCTCCTCCCCCCCAGGTCCCTCCATCCCTACTCACTCCAGATTGCCAAACTGCTTGGGGTGTGTCTAGTCACCTGGGCCCTTGCGTCCTCATCCCCCAAGGTGGCCATCACCTCTGGGGGCACAGGCCCAGCCATTGTGTTTATGCATCTCACCCTCAGCAGACCAGGGTGAAAATTACCCGTGGAGAAGTGGGTGCCAGATGGGAGACAGACATGAAACAGACACCTGGAACACCCTAAATTGGCACCTCGCTAGAGGGACACACAGGAGGGAACTGTGTCTAGGGGACACACTGTCTAGGGGAGCCTGTCTGCAGGGGCTGGCTGATGTAGGGGAACTGGAACAGGGGTCATGCCCTCGCCCCAGGATCCCCACAATTCCCAGCATGGCCCTTCCTTCGCAGCTCCTGGGAGTACCATCTCATCTCTCCTCTGGGATCCAAACTCCGTAATTAAACATTGGGTAAAAATAGTTGCCCACTCCTATGAGATCATCTGCGAGGCTTCTGGGCCATGGAGCACTGTGGGAATTCCCTCTCACCTTGGGGCAACCTCGGCCACCCATCTGCAGTCAGTAACCACAGGACAGCCCTAGGCAGGAAACAGGCCACTTGATGAGACCACTTAGCGCGGAGGACAGTTTTCCAAATCAGCAGGTCTCATCAGAGATTCCTGCCCAGGGTATTGCGGAGAGAGTAGCACGGAGTTAGGAGGGTTTCCTGGAGGAGGTGGGGCCTGCACTGGGCTCCATGCTGCCAAAGAGGACAAAGAGCAACCTCCCTGCAGGCATGAGTGGTAAGCTGGAGGCAGAAGTATCAGGACATGGGGGAGGGGTTGGGGACATGAGAATAGGGCTGAGGCACCATGCGTTGGGCTCCTGCTCCTGCTGGGCCTTCTTCTTGCTCTGTTCTTCCTTCTTTCTTCATCTGGCTAACTCCTACTCATCCTTCAAGAATGAATCCAGGGGCCACTTCCACCTGGAAGCCTTCCCTGACCTCCCCCTGCCTCACTGCATGTGCCTCCTCTGAGCTCTCACAGTTCCCTCCTGTGTGTCCCTCTAGTGAGGTGCCAATTTGGGGTGTTCCAGGTGTCTGTTTCGTGTCTGTCTCCCACCTGGCACAGGCACTCCTCGGGCGGGCCTAAGTCATATGCCAGGAATGGGGGTGGGGTGGGGAGGAGACCCTGCAGCTATGCTTGTGAGGCCCTGTCCCTGTGCTCCAAGCCCATCCCAGCAGGGCAGTGCTCCCCACAGGGGCCATCTCTCTCCCCTATTCCACGGAGGCAACCACAAGGGTCAAGATGAGGTGACAGGGCAGCCTGGGAAGGGCTAGCACTGGAGCCAGCAGCAAATGTGGACACCCCTATTTGACATAATTCTGCCCCACATAGGGCAGGTGGGGGCAGGGAAGAAGCCAGTCCCAGTGCCGCGTCCTCAAGCATCAATCCCTGTCCCTTCCCACTCTTTCTGCTGGTTGAGAGTATTCTTGCCAAGATGGGGCAGAGTGGAAAGACAGGACCTGGGGGAAAGGCTCTCCCAGCTAGGCCTCATTGAAGGCAGGGGTGGAACTCAGACAGGGATCTACCAAGGGTAGGGTGGCTACGGCCATGTCCTTGGCAGGACTGGCCCGGGAGGCACTGAGATTGGGTCTGCCTTGACCTTCCCCCTCTCGCCTGCCTGGGTCACTCGCTGGCTGGCTGGGAGCCTATGGGGGCATGATGCCCAGCACAGCAGCCCTCACTGTCCTTGGGGTCCAGCTGGGGCTACACACAAGTGGCAGGGGTTGTAGAGCCAGAGGTAAAAGCCACGGGAAGCAGGGCCAGCAGGGAGCCCCGGCCCTGGTTACAGGTGGGGAGACTGAGGCCCAGGCATGGCTCTCTGTGAAGGGGAGGCTGCAAGCCACAAGGAAGAGGGCTCAGCCCCAAAAGGGGCAAGGGTGTGCTGTCCCCAAATGCCCTGGGGGCCAGAACAGGGGATGAGACTGAGTGCAGGGACTTGGCTGACCTGGGCTCCAGGACTGACCCCACTGCTCTCTGGGTGAGGGACGTTGGCCACAACTCCAACCTCTGGGCCTCAGTTTGTTCACTTTAAAAATGAGGAAGAGGGGCAGCCCCTCCCTGAAAGGACAGCACAGGAAGTGGTCCCTGCAGTGTTATAATCCATGCGTATCCGTGGGCAGGGCCAGGGCTCCCCAGACCTCTGGGTGGAGCCAGGAAGTGTCTCCAGTGTGACACCCAATCAGCCCACAGACCCAGATGTGGACAAAGCAGAGCCTCAGGGGGAGGGCAACCCAGAGGTACCAGAAGCAGGCATCCGAACTCACCCAGCCCCCACTGTCTGGGCTGGCCTGGAAGGTCTACGGATTGAACCCAGCTGGCCGTGGGCTCTCCCTCCTCCGGTGGCTCCTTAGGAACTCCCACTTCTGTCTTTGCCTGTGTCACTCTCCTGGGGC